CGACGTTTCGGGTGCTTTACAGCAACCATGGTCACGGGGGGGGGGGGGACTGAGATGTTTGACGTCCCAATGTCATAGTTAGTCCGGCTACCTTCAGTTTTTGAATATTAATTTTTGGTCCGATTTACGCAAAACGAGCTTATAGTATCATGAAGTCTTGCAGTGGTATGCTTAGGTTTGGGTTTAATTTTGTTAATTAAAGGATCCCAAGCAGGTAGCAGCACTCATCCATCTTCTCTATTGAAATTTGGATGTTTTTTAATTTCAATAGCCTCGCGTATCATCCTTGGTAGGAATTGGTGTTCTTTTGCGAGGATTTGTGGGTTATCAAATCGAATGTAATGGTGGGGAAGATCTTGAACATGTTCGCAGATTGCAGACTTCCCGGAGCGTCGGTGCTTCACGTCGTGAATTCCAATTGGAATGAATCGTTCAATGGGACTGAATTTTTTTTCGTAGTTTATAGAATTTTGTTATCATTGATTCCAATAACAAGAGACTGAAGTTATAGAACGCATGAAAAACGCATATCGCAACTGACGAGTGTGAGTATAGATAGCGAGTGTGCGAACGAGAGGTGAATAAAGGTAACGCCATTTCCAATCTCATTCTTTAGTCGTACGTGTAGTACATTATATAAATTTACAGCAAATGATTAATTTCATATAATAATTTTCAACCACAAGTGCGACAAGAAAGTTAAAATTTTATAGCAAATAAATGTTACAATCCTTATTTTTAGACATACTCGTATTGAGCCTAAATTTAGTGTTATAAATCAAAATAATTTTTTTTTCGAGTAAAAATGCTTTTTAATAGCACCATCTACTTTATTTTATAGGTAGTCATTTTGTCTCACAAAAATTGATTTGACTCTCGAGATGGTACGTAAAATAGACGCCAGGTGGTCGAAACACGACTCCTTTAATATAATATTTTATCTCATTATCTCGCAGTCTAAATCTCATAGTTTATCTCATAGACTATATTTGTCTCTTTTTAGTGTTGCTTTTTCGTTTCATCGAGTTTCAAGTCACAACAGTGGCGAAGCTTCCATAAAAGCCGAAAAGCCGGGCTTGCCTTATTAAAACTGAATCAATCAATAATATCAACTAATAAAATAACTCATAAACTGTTTCAAATTATTTCAATTTTCTCGCGCACTCCACTGTTCGACACATGTCGACCGATGACCTCGTATTGCCTTAACGATACGTTTATACAAAGGTACTCTGTGGCGATACTGCTGCTGTCATAAAGTGAGTTTTAATAGAGCGATTAGTTGTCTCCCTCGCTCGCGTGGGCTTTTTACGGGGCTTTCAAGAAGACGATCGCTCTCTTTCTAACCTATGGCAAAATATTCTATAATGAAATATAACTACGAAATGTTTATATAACAATTACTATTGAGCCAACAAGCCTGGCTTTGCCATGAAGTTGTTTAGGAGTGCGTTAGTGACTAGCGAAGTGGTTGCGGGCCCCTCGTATGCAAGTTCACTTCACATTTCAATGTTTATGTTTGTTTTTGTTGTGTTTGTTAAAAATTTATGCTTTTTCGAAGATTTTCAGTGAAAATGGGAGGATAATAGTGTTCATTGTGATGAATATAAGTGTGTTGAAGTGCTAATCGGCGAGGAAAAGGTAAAAATCTTTAAAAATGAAATTTAATATTCAATAAACATTTCTTCATACTTTAAATATAGGTACAGGTAGTGGCGAAGCTACAGCTCCAAACTAGGGCAAGCCCAAGATATAAATTGATAAAAATATAGATTGTTGTTTTTAGCAGTTTTACAAAAATACACCAATCTTGATCTGTCTCCACTCTTCAGTTTCATGTTCAGTGCTGTTAAGGACGTATTTAACAAAGCACACAGAAGGCATACTGCTGCTAGATAGATTTTTTATTACATATCAGCAATTGCATAGCTTCGGTGGCTTTGAAGAAGGCCGTTTGATTTTGTTTAAGCGAAAGAAAAAATATTTACATCCAGTACAATACATGAACAAAAGTAAAACATGAACAAAGTACAAACAAACTATTACAAAAAAAGAAAAAAAAACAAATTATTTACGATAAGATAAGATAAGTGGAATCGTCTCGCTTTCTTAAGGAAAGATTTAATTACGTCCACCTAAAATATTGGTGAACGTTTTAATTGTACCAATAACTGTTTTTTTAATTGCGATAATTGATAAGTCTGAAATACACTCTTGACCTTGCATATTATTTCAACAAAGTTTAAAGATTTTACCTTTTCCTCGCCGATTAGCACTTTAACACACTTCAATTCATCACAAGGAACGCTCTTTCCCTCCATTTTAATTAAAAATCTTTAAAAAAGCATAAATTTTAAACTTGCAATACATTAGATAAAGCTCAACACACAATGCACAAAGTACTTTTTGACACAATGTAAACACTAAACATTGAAATATGACGTGAACTTGCTAACATATCGTCAGCTCGTCGGCGTCGGCCGCGCGCCTCCTCTCTCGACTAACTTCATACCTAACGTGACCATACGTCCCACTTTAGGCGGGACGTTCCCGATTTAAAGGTTTGTGTCGCGCTATCCCCAAAATACGTAAAAATGTCCCGCTTTAACAAACAAAAGCGTGACAATCATGCAAATCCTGTCACCCGTACCATCATTATGACACCGCGCGTACCAGGTTTGCATAGCTTGTCTAGTTACGTGATTATTCTGAAAAGCTACACTTTTGAATTTAAAGTTACGAAGTGACAATTTTTAATTAATCTACAGTAAATAATCAAATAACATAAGATATTTCCAATTAGTATTTATTTGATGTTCAGAATTCACTTTTGATCATTAAAAGACTCAAACAACTATGTGTTTTATTTATAAAACTATATTAAAGGGTTCCAGATTGAATTTTGGTAACGGCGTAAGTATAATACTAACATATACAATAAGTGTAATACTACTGCTAATGAGAATTTTGTGACGGAAAAACCCAATAAATGAGACTTGACCCGACTCGGGTTTCGAACTTGCGACCACATGATCAGCAATTGCGTTTACTGCTATTAGACCAAGAAGGCAGTCAAAAGTGTTAGAACCATAATAATTTTAAAGGCGTCCCGCTCTGAGGAAAAAATTAATGGTCACTAAAAAGCCGGGCTTTTTATCTCCATACTAATTGCTATTTATACAATCGTAGTTATATTTCATTATAGAACATTTTGCCACAGGTTAGAAAGGGAGCGATCGCTTTCTCGAAAGCCCGGTAAAAAGCCCATGCGTGCGAGGGAGAAAACCAATCGCTCATTTCAACTCTCCTTTTATGTATGACAGCAGTATTCGTAAGGCTACGAGGTCGAACAGAGTGCGCGAGAAATTTGAAATAGTTTGAAACAGTTTAAGATTTATTTTATTACTTGACATAATTGATTGATTCATCTTAATGAGGCAAGCCGGGCTTTTGGGCTTGTATAGAAGCTTTGCCACTGGGTACAGGACTCTTTAGTATTAAAGTTTAATTAAGTTAGGCGTATTTAAAGGTTTAATAACTCAATATTTATATTACCATACGAATTAAAAATATCAAATTGAACAGCAGCATAAAGTATGAGACCTAGGTTTAATTTTAGAGGAAATAAGTGTCACAATCTTTTTTTTAACGTGAAGCCCAAATTTTAATTAAATAAATCAAAAGAATACAGAAGAATGTATTGAGGTTTTTAAAGAATAGTACTCCCTTTAGTTATTTCCAGTTAGGTTTCTCTGTCTACTTTTCAGTATATAAAATTTTAATGGCGCCATCTACTTAATTCTATACGTAAAGTCATTTTATCGAACGAAAATTGGTTGATTCTCACGACGGTACCTAAAGATTACGCTAGATGGCACAAATACGATATCGGCTAATTTATAGTGATATATGAGTTTAAAAATATCATTTTGTACGGTTTATTATTAATTGAAAATGAATAATTATAATAAATAGTCATTATTTTATGGTATAAAATTAGCAAAGCTTTATCTTCTCATTATAACTATCTAATTCCTGTCGTAATCTGTTCTTTTATGCATATAACTTTAACAAAATATAATTTCGAGGTTTCACATCTGCCAGGCGTCCCTTTTTTAACTTTGTACATTGTTTGTACTTTGTTCATGCCTTTCTTTTGTTCATGTATTGTATTGTTTGTAAATATCTCAAGCAAACCCAAACGGCTCTTTTCAAAACCACCGAAGGTGTGCAATTGCATATTATGTCATTCAATCTATCTAGCGGTAGTATGCTTTCTGTGTGCTTTGTTATACACGTCCTTGTCAGCACTGAATGTGAAACTAAAGAGTGGAGACAGCTCAAGATTGGTGTGTTTTTATTAAACCGCTAAAAACAACAAATTCATATCTTGCGCTTGCCCTAGTTTGGAGCCCTAGCTTCGCCACTGAGTCACAACGATTCTAAAAAAGTTTTCTCTTCAAAAATAGGTTGCATTATGACTAACAAAACTTATATAAGGAACAGCTTGAAAGCGATTACACTATTCCATGTTGTCAACCATGTATATTACTAGTTACTATAAATAGCTTAACAAACAAGAAAACTATTATTCGATAAAACATTTCAAATAAAAAATAAAAACGACGGTTTGCACTCCGGGAGTGCCGGCAGAAGTGAAAACTTGAATACTAACATTGTGCATTTTTGATATTTTGGAATGGTTGAGGAATAATTTTGCAAGAATTGCTTTAATAATCAGTATAACAGTACTATCATCTATGTGGTAGAATACAATATTTATTTATTGCGCTATCGTACACAAACATGACAATTTATATTACATTAAAATGTTTATCTCTCTTACGAATTTTCGATCAGGTCACGTGTCCTGACGCGAGTTTAAAATTTTTTACCCATTACAAAAAAAGTGTACAACGCCGCTAAAGAAGTTTTCACTTCAAAATCAATCAACTTACAGCGTCTACATAGTTTTATGAGCAACAGAAAAATCAACATACGTGGGCTCGCAACGGGGCAACAGTATCATCTCGTCGGGGTCTACGGCTATCTCGTCCTCTTGCTCCCGCGCAGTCAGCTTCCACGAGGACGACATCTCGGGCGACGAGTTGGACCGCCGCACCGGGTGCCGCGACTTGCCCTGAGATTACCGTTGAAAACACACACGTGCAATGTTAGCACCTGTTGCAGATAGTTCACAATTATCGTGACAATTGCAGGGCGCAGGTACAGTGAGATGACTGAGACTGAGTTTGATCGAAATGTACCACTGAATGATGAAAGAGAACGGGTTAAAAATATAAAAATTGGTATGTCTTTCCAATAAATATATATGTGTATTTTTTGACCGCCCCGTTGGTCTAGTGGTTGTAGTAGTGCGACTGCTGATCATGAGGTCTTAGGTTCGAATTCCGGGTCGGGCTAAAAAATTATTGAGTTTTTCCGTCAAGAAATTCTCAGTAGCTGCCCGCAGTCAGGAAGTTGGCGGTGTCTCACCCCCGTGCCTCGAAAACCACGTAAAGCCGTTGGTCCTGCGCCTGATCTTCTCTCCAGTCGTGTCGGTTTACCGTCCTATTGGGCTATGAGAGTGAGGGAATAGAAAGTGCACCTGTGCTTGGGTACTTTAGTCCTGTTCTGCGCCGATGGCTAGTCTCCGTTGAGGCTGGCCGTCACCGAAATTCGGTCTGGAGGACGTTATCTGTATATTTAACGATCTTGTATTTGTAAGACGGCTCGTAGTGCAATAGCTAAGCATTTGCTCGTATTCGTATCTATTTGCTGGTAAATGTATGGCTTACAAATATTTGTTGCGGCTCTGATGTGTACAATTTATGTATATAAATCACCTCCACGATACAGGAGAAAGTTCTACTTGCGGGTAACATTCTTTTTTTTTTCTTAAAAAGGAAATTAGTTTTTGTTTATTATATAAAATTGATATATTGTATTTGTATAATTCTCCTATTGTTGCTAATAATGTGTGTAAAATATTTCTATTTTCAAACAATACTAGTAATAATAACTTTTGATTTTATTACTAATTACCCCAAAATCTCAAATCTAGATTGTACAACCAGCGCGTGTTGCGAGTGATGACCTATAGATCTGTGACGTCTATTGGTCCTTCCTTGGTCCTTCACTGCCGGCCGTATGAGGAAGATCAAAGTCGCTCAGCTAGCTATGGAGAGGGCTATGTTCGGAGTTTCTCTGCGTAATAAATTTAGGAATGAGGATATTCGCAGTAGAACTAGAGTAACCGACATTGCCCAACGGATTAGTAAACTGTAGTGGCAATGGCCACATAGTTTGAAGAACCGATAACCGATGGGGAAAAAAAGGTTCTCGAGTGGCAACCACGTACCGGCAGGTAAAGTGTAGGGCGTCACCTCACTAGATGGATTGACGACCTGGTAAAACATGCAGGAAGTCGATGGATGCAGGTGGCTCGGGAAACGTGCTTTGTGGTACTCCTTGGGAGGGTTCAGCAGTGGACTTGTGAAAGGCTGTAATGATGATGATGTTGACTAATGATAAGGATAGTAGGAAAATAATTTAGTTAGAGCTAATATTCAAATTTTTATTAGCACTATTAAAATGCGCCCACTAAAATTTGCTCTATGGATGTTAAATCTGAAACAAAATCTCTGATCTGAATCACTCAAGGCCATTGCCATTTTTTCTATCCTACAACACTGGTGGAACATATAATATTCAGTCAACTAAAGTGTATTGAGGGTGTTGTGTAGTGAGTGAGTGAGGTGTGTAGTGGTGTGTGGTGGGGCGCACCTCGGGCACGACGAGCAGCAGGTCGTCGTCGTCGGTGGTGCTGGAAGAGCTCTGGCGCTGCGGCGAGCCCGGGATGTTGATCGGCTGCGTGCTCATGCTGCAGGAACAACACACACACGTCACTTACTATTGCTTGCCTCGTTGCTCTAGTGGTAGTAAGCGCAATTGCTGATCATGAGGTTTCGGTTTCTAAACCCGGATCTAACCAAATTTATCCGCTGGGGTGAGGAAGTTAGTAGTGTTTCATTCACCCCGTGACTTGGAAAGCACGTAAAGCCGTTGGTCTTGTACCTGATCTCTCTCCGGTCGTGTTGGTTTGCCGTTCCATTGGACTATAAGCGTGAGGGGCTATGACAGTGCACCTGTGCTTCCGCATACACTTGGGGACTTTAATCCTGTACTGCGCAGATGGCTAGTCGTGTTGAAGACTGGCCGTCACGGCAGAAATTCGATCTGGATTACGACGGACGACGTTATTATACTAATTGCTAGCACTCTTTTTTGTGTTTCAGTCTGAAAGGTATAGAGAGTCAGTATTAATTACAAGCTATAAGTGTGTATAGGTATCCCATTTTAGTCCTCAGGGGTGACAACAATTTTGTTTGTTTACAGTTGGTTACAAGTATTTTAGAACTGCAGTAGTCACCATCAGGTGGACTGCAAATTTATACAATTATTAATTTTATAAATTTACAGTCGTACATTTATTATTAATTTTGTTACTGTATACGTTTATTACTATTAACTAACTAATACGACAAAATAGGTGTACAATACGAATCAAATTTTATTCACTCAGAACAGTTTGGCAGTGCAATTCTTCGATCGATTTCTCAAAATATTATAATAATCGTGTAATAATATTTTAAGGTAATGATCCATAACTTTAAAACGGATTCATTGTATGTTTATTTGATCCTTATTTCTTAATATTTTTCTTAGTTTGTAACTATGTTAATGTATTGTTACGAGCTTGAGCTTCGGACAATAAAAACTGCCGATTGAATTACCAAAATTGACACTTTATTTACCGAACACCAATTACAACATATAACACACTAATAGTTAATCACACTTTACACTTTAGTTCGCAGTTAAATCGCTTTGAAGTATTCGCTTGTATGGCCAATTTAATACTGACTCGGTCGCGGTCAATACCAGTCTTATACAGGACTTTTTCTACTGAAATATCTATAATGTTCGGCCGGCCCCGACCAACTAGATGTAGAAAGTTCTCTCCTAGTTCGGGCACTCGATACTAGATGGCGCTAGTGGGAAAGATTTAGTATGAAATTTTCTAGAAAGCTCTACTAGTTCTGCTACTCGATACTAGATGGCGATAGTGGCATTAATTATGGCGTGCAACACTGCCCTATCCTAAGACATGCTCGTCGCAAGCATTATCGGCCCCATAATAACGCGCCAGTCGATCCACATGGACGATCTTAAGTGTACCTCTTGCTCCTTTCTGAATCCGGTAGGTTACGTCATTGATCATTGTCACAATCCGATATGGTCCGTCCCATTTAGCTTAAAGCTTAGGAGATTTCCCATTGCTGCGGACTGGATTGTGCAACCACACTAGTGAACCTTCGTCGAACCCTTTGTTGTTCATTTTGCGGTCATACCGGGTTTTCATCTTTTCAGACATGACTCATTCTGACATTCTGACGTGCTCAAAAATGTCATTAATTTTGTTCCACAAGTCATTTGCATGATCGGTTATACTGCGTGGGGCATCAGGTGGTTTTCCAGTGATAGCTCTGCAGGCAGCCGTAACTCTCTGTCAAAGTTTGCAAAAGCTCGATCGATCGACGTCGATTCGCGACTTTTATCGCCAATTCATTACTGGCTCGGTCGCGGTCAATACTAGTCTTAAATAAACCTTTTCTACCGAAACATCTAGAATGTTCGAACACATACCGGTCCTGACCGACTTGGTGTAGAAAGTTCTCTCCTAGTTCTGCCACCCGATACTAGATGGCGCTAGTGGGTAAGATCTAGTAAGGAATTTTCTAGAAAGTTCTCCTAGTTCTGCTACTTGATACTAGATGGCGGTAGTGGCATTAATTATGCTTTCAGCAGTATTTTAGAACTTAACTGCTGAACTGACTTAATTTTGTTTATTAAGCAAAATCTCTCAAATACATTGCAATGTGATGCATCAACATATTCTGAAGTAATTTTTAAACAAATGATTATGAAGGATTTTTTATTAATTGATTTTGCAAAAGTACACCAAAAAAAAAACAATGGTGAAATTATGTTCCTTGGTCCAGTGTTAAGTAAAGCTTTAAAAATTAGACTTGAAAGAAATATATGTGAATTTATTGCTTTGCGTGTGCAGGTGTGTGTGTGTGTGTTGTTTTGGTGGTGTGTGTGTGTGTGTGTGTGTGTGTGTGTGTGTGTGTGTGTGTGTGTGTGTGTGTGTGTGCGTACCACTGCAGCGGCGGCTGGTGCGGCGGGTGCGGCAGGATGCAGTGCGAAGTGGCGTGCGGAGCCTTCTTCTCGCCCACCACCACCACCGAGTCTGAGCTGTAACCAACGTGTACATGTGTGCGTGCATGTGTGTGTGCGAGTGCGTGCGTACCGTTGCGGCGGCGGCTGGTGCGGCGGGTGCGGCAGGATGCAGTGCGAGGCGGCATGCGGAGCCTTCTTCTCGCCCGCCACCACCGAGTCCGAGCTGTAAACAATGCACGCGTTTCATCATCAAATATACTTTTGATATACTCGTAAGAACCCTATCAATATTAGTGAAATATTAAACTTTTAATAAAAAGTTAAAGACTTCAAAAAAACTAACAATAATATTAATTTCCACATAATAAACTTCTGAATTTGGTGATAAGACAGCACATACTCGTAGAAGAGTTAAAATATAACAGCAGCAGCTTTATTATAGTTGCGGCACGAATAGCTCGGCTCGACCGTACAAGGACCAAAATCTCACAGAATATCAGCATAAAATAGCAGCCCTATGCTGCTTTGTTTTGTATGGTGAGTGTAGAAAACCGAAAACCCTTTTCACTTATAACGAAGTATTCTATTTTAGTCCTTAGAGGTGACAACGCATCTGCATTTTGTTTCTTCATTGAAAATAGATACTATGTCTATAGGCCATAACATCCACTTACCATACTGTGCACTGTGTGCTCACACATTATCCTTATTCTATAATAAATAAAGAATTAAAGCAAATAAAAATTTACAGTTAGAGATCATTTTTCAATGTCAGTTTAAAGTGTGCTCTAAGTACACAAGAGAACAACCTGGACTTGTGGAGATCACCAGCGGTCTCGTCACACCCACGCACCGAATCATCGCCGACCTGTAACAAAATTTAGCCATGTCACATTCATACTAATGTCGGGCACCAAGACTAAACTACTTTGCACATCGCTGCAATGATCACTCTCTGAGCCCCACCCGACTAGGATTACATCTAAATTCATTTAAATTTTCAGAGCAACACCTCCCTTCAATGCTACTCGCGCTTTATGAAGTGTCGCTCAAAAAATTTAATACTATGATTTCAGTAATGAGCAATATAGATGGGATAGTTACTGATTTTTCTACATATATTCTCGTTGCGGTGTCTATCATTCAGATAAATTTTCTGAAATTCCTAAGAATTACAGGACATCATATCTTTGATAAGAGAACGCTATCTAATTGGTTTCGTCGGTTAACTTCTTCATCGAACGAAGCAAGGTTCTTGAGGGAAGCATGTACCTACCTACAGTAAAACTCGAGCAGCTGATATGGCTCAAAGGATAAGTAAGCTAAGGTTCATTACAATCCATCAAAAGTCTACTGCTGCACAAAGGCTTCCCTATACATGATCTCACTGTGGGGAAAATTGCAATAGTTACCAAGCTGACAGGCAGGTTGGCGACTACAGTTTTATTATTGCTTAGTTGTTATTAGGTTGTCACTGTTGCTCATCTCCTGGTTTTGTTTCTCTCTGTCGCCTTTTATAACATCCACGGAACGAAATGCTACTAACTACTTCTAAATATAGTCTCATTTTATATGATATAATACTTTGAAATCATTTGAGAATTCCACATCCCCAGAAATTTATTTGGTCCTTCGAGCTGGATTGTACCCTTAAGTGTTTTAATTTTTCAGTAATAAATATATAATTTAAATTTTGAGTAGTAATAGACAGCTATCATTTGATAGCTTGAGTGGATTACCAGCATTGTTGGGATTTTAATTAGGAGCGTTTAAATTAAAATCTTAAAGCGCTTTTTAGTAATTTCTCGCTTTAAGTCTATAGGTTATAGCTAAAATGATGCAGTATTACATGATAGATTTAATAATAGTTGATGCTGGAAGCAGGTTTTTCCATGAATACGTTCGTAAATATTTTCTGAAATACTTCGCCATACCGCACTGGACAGCCAGTTCTTTAAGTGCAGAGTCGAAAGCCTTGCAATAGTAATGCTGTTGATGAGGAACAGATTTTTCCTCATCAACAGTGGCAGCATTTTCGGATGGATTATATAGACATTTTTAAATACATGAATAAATTAATGAAAAGATATATGTATAATACCAAACCGGCAATTCAGAACAAAAATGTATCACAACTGTGGGTCGTTGTATTTTCATTTACGACAGTTACTGGTTTTTTAGACAATCACAAAGTAAGGTTACATTCTTGTCTGAATAAGTTTCAAATCACATTGACAAAGTGCATAGAAGTCTTTGCACTACATAATATATGTGTGTATGTCGGTACGTACGGCGTTAAGCAGGTGGTTGACGTCGTGTGCGACATCAGGCGGCGCTAGTAGCGCCAGCACGTCCTGCAGCGGCCACTCCTGCAGCTGCGACCAGCTCATCTGACAACGGAACACGACTGTCACATGAGATATAATATATAACGAGATAGGCATCGGACATTCGGGTGCTATAATATCTAAATCTTTCGTCTACAACATATGAATAAGGGAGTTCCTTTTTGAATAAGTTTTCTGGATGATCCCTTGTGCTCTCTGAAACAGATTTTGCCAAGTTAGCTGACTGTGAAGGATGGTGGTGAGTTTCACAGTTTAAATATCGGTTAGTATGGGTCTTTTTCGAATGACTAAAAAAAGTGGAATTAAAAAAGTTAAAATTAAACGCGATAAAATTCGTAAAATCCGTTTAATATAAGAAATCATTAAGTTTTATGGAGAGACCAATAAGGGGATCATGGGGTCGTAAAATTGGAAACTTAAGTAATCGCATTTTTGGTAGAAAATAATTTAACGGGGCACAATCATATTATACTAGCTTCGACTAGATATAAATGCAATCAAATATTTTTGTATATGTATTCGTGTGGTGTGCGCAGGAGACGAATTATTTTATTTTAACTGAAAGTGGTCATTTTTGTTTCACTAATTTAGAACTATTTTGACATTCTTAATATCAAATAAGATTTAGAGCGGAAATAAAGTGAAGACAAATACAGAAAACGAGAAAGATTTTACAATATAGTATTATGCTTATGTGCATAAATTAATTTTTTTTAATTTTGACGAAGATAAAATAGTTAATTATTTAAAATATAATAATGTTAAATTCAAATAGGTAAAGGTAATGGAAGAAAAAGAAAACGGAAGAAAGTGTGGAGGCGTCGAATACTTTTGGGATGGTATTTACAACTGGACACAGTTCCGCAAAAAAACCAATTCATGCTTGTATGTTTTAAATATACAGGTGCCTCAGAAAAACCAACTTTTGTTAATGAATAAAAATTAACAAATATATTTACATAAACACGTAAATAATATTTTGAAAATAAAATTATTTAAATGGCGCCCTTCGCGGCTCTGGCGCTCTTGAAAGTGATCCCTAACATTCATGAAAACGCGACTCAGTAGTTAAGTTGTTGATTTGTTGTTAAATGTTGCTAACGTTTTCCTTCAATTCAGGTATGGTTAATAGATACATAGTTGTACACCCGATTCTTCAGATAACCCCAGAGGAAAAAAATCTGAAGGTGTGTGGTCTGGGCTCCTCGAGAGCCATCTGATGTCACCTCTCATCGAAATCAGCTTTTCAGGGAAGTATCCACGTACTGTCTCTATTGACTGGTTTGACGTATGACAGGTGGCCCTATCATGCTGAAACCACGTATTTGAATTGTAACCTCGCAGTTGCTGTAGTTGCGGCCGAAAAAATCGTTTATCATGCTTTCATAGCGGGCTGAATTAACTGTTAATGCTCGACCTGTTGAATCCTCAAAAAAAATACGGTCTCACGATGGCAAAAGATGACATGGCGCACCAAACCGTCACTTTTGGGCTGTGAAATGGCCGTTGGTTTTTCTTTCAGAATTTGATTCTCCTGTAATGTTGGGAGCAAGGCAAGAAATTAAACTCACTGATGCAGTTTAATAACTCTTTTACTGAATGGAAGGAGACTTATATATAGTAAGTATGACGTAGATACATAGATAGTAAGAAATGTTTGTATTGCGTGGTTCCAGGTAGAGACCACGTGAATGGTGTCTTCTTCTATAAAAATAATAAGATATTACTGCACTAAATAGATATAATTTCTACATTTAATGAAGACACGTGTACTCTATATATGGAGGATATCGATTAATATTTTAGTTAAATAATTTCATCATAGCACATACACTACACTCCCTAGAAACGACAGTTTTGTCTGTTAACATGTCCGTTGACGTGGAAGTGGGCTTCATCTTCGTTTTCGTTTAAAGCCTGTAATTTAAATTTTATAAGTTAAGTTTCAAGACTTGTTTTAGAATTCTGTGAACAGTTGATCGAAGCATGTTTAACTTGTCTGCTTTCTTGCGAATTGAATCGTGTGGAATTTCGCGTATCGCCTGTCTAACACAGTCAATATTCTCATTGGTCGTTGAAGATCTTGGGCGGCCCGGTGTATGGGATGGCAGCTTAGAACCAGTTTTTTGCAATCTCTTCACCCAATCCTGAATCAATTTATTGCTTGGAGTCTGCTTATTAACCATGTAAACGATATTTTTGTCGAAATTTGAGACGCCCAATCACGTATTGTTGTGTTCAAGAAACGCGGTTACACAAAAAGTACGTTGCTGCCCCGTGAAACGCGACTGAATTTCCACAAAATGGCGTCTCACTTGTCGTTCCCTCCACACCCGAGTTCCACGCATTTTGTTTTTAGAACACATTCAAATAGTGAGTTTATTTTGAGACTTCCGGTAGAATAATTTCAGCAAAAATAAAGTAGTAGATAAAACAAGTTATAAACAGTTTAAAAAATTTGAATAATACTGTATATACGGATTCTATCGAGTTTAATTTACTTATTTTAACTTATTTTTAATTCTCGACATTTCCGGTGCTTTACAGCACTTGCTTTACACAGGGGGGACTGAGATGTTTGAGTTGTTTGAGATAACAACATGCCTGTTGAATACGCAGTATTACTCAAACACTGCCTCACATCTGGCTATCTATTGTAGAAGGAAGAGTTCTACAAGCAAGTAGAAGGTGTGGCGATGGGCTCATCTGTACCTCAAAAAGACCCGACCAACCGATATTTAAATGATGAATCTCACCATCAGCCTTCACAGCTAGGTAAACCGGTAAATCTTTGATTCAGAAAGCACGAGGGATCTGTGACAGAAAACATCTGTCGCCGAACTTCAGCACGTCAAGCAAGTATTGCAAGACAACAAGCTTCGGGTCCCACGCTTACGTCACAGTGAACGAGTGAAGCTGGCCACAGTCGCGCGTGTGCCTGCTGTACTACCGTATGAAAGAGGAGTCACAGACAAGGTTGGCTACATCTTGAAGCGAGCTTCCATTAAAACATACTACAAGCCGCCGAAGAAGATAAATCAATTTTTACCATCCGTCGAGTGTAATATCTCTCTACAAGATGCAGGAGTGTACAAGTTAGATTGTGAATGTGGTCTCTCTTACATAGGTCATACAAAAAGATCCATAAAAACCCGCGTGAAAGAACATATAGCTGACATAAAGCACCGACGCTCCGGGAAGTCTGCAGTCTATGAACATGTTCAAGATCGTCCTCGCTGTTACATCAGATTTGATAAACCATAAATTCTCGCAAAAGAACACCGATCCCTACTAAGGATGATACGCGAGGCTATTGAAATTTAGGAACACCTTAATTTCAATAGAGAAGATGGATGGGTGCTGCCATCTGCTTGGGATCCTATAATTAACAAAATTAAACCCAAAGCCAAGCATACCACTGCAAGACTTCAAGATACCTTAAGCTCGCTCTGCGTAGATCGGACCGAAAATTTATATTAAAAAACTAAAGGTAGCCGGGCTAATTATGACACTGGAACACCATCTTAGTCCCCCGCGTGACCACGGGTGCTGTAAAGCACCCGAAACGTCGGGAGTTAAAAATAAGTAAATTAAACGCGATAGAATCCGTATATAGTTTTATTCAATGTGTAGTGTTCGCGTAAATTTAAGAAACCATTAGTTTTAAACAAGTCGTTATTATTTTAAATGTAAAAAGTATATTTTGTTTGTGAGATGGAATTTTTAGACAGTTTAAATGTAAGATAATATTTTTGGCTAGTATGTTTGTGTCAGTTTCCATGTAGTGGCGGTTCAAGAATATTTTCTACCCCATATCGTCCCGAGGGTGTCGTAAAAGGCGAAACTAAAATAGAAAATGGGCAGCAGCATCTTCCTGATAAAAACTCACAATAAAAAATATCTGCGGTTGCCAACTTGTTTGCCTAGCATGGCAACTATGGTAAAATCTTATCCGTGAGGCAATCAATGGGAGAATCCTATATTCAGCAGTAGACTTTTATACGCTTACGTGTGCGTGTGTGTATAGGAGTGCGTGTACGTGTATGCATACCTGGTTCTGCAGGCGCAGCAGCCAGGACACGTCGCCGGTGGGCGAGCGCACGTGCAGCTCGGCCCAGGCGCCGCACCAGCACGGGCACGAGCCCCCAGCACCCGCGCCGTACGCCTCGCCACGCACGCTTGTCTCCTGCGCAAACCACGCGAATACAATACAAACTCTTTTATTCAATATATAGTCTGGGACACCTTATATTATATAATTATCTATCTTTGAATTAAATTATGTATTATATCATTTTGTAAACTGTATTAACTGCGCATATTTTTGAAATAGCTGGCCACGTAAGTACTTATATTTTTTTCACGAATGGCTCTTAAACTTTTGTCAAAATATTTTTTTTATAAAATTTCGTGCTTAAAATTGAAGTTTTTTTGCTAAAAAGTACAATAACTACTCATACTCTTTACTGCATTTCTAATAGAATAGTCTATCAGGAATAAGAGAACACAAAAAACGCAACGAATTTCTTTAATTTGCAGCAGTGGAGTACATGAAAGTACAATAAGGTCAATAAAAACATTTTTTTTGAAAACCTTCATATAGTTGGCACCGCTTGGAATATTTTTTTTTGTATTTTTATTTGAGCGCCTGATACCTGTTTAGGCGCTCCAGGATTATGCACTCTTTCTGGGACATAGTGTATAATAGGTCGGTGAAAAGGTTTCTTTAAGGTTTGTATAAAATTGAGGAAAAACGTGTATCTGGCTGGTTTTAATATCAATACATTTTTTCATTTTTACTTTTCTGTGAGGGTAGGTGAATTGAGTAGTACACATTTTAGACATCTTAGATTTAATTATATTTTAAAAAATAGTTACAGTTTGAATTTCATGTTTATTATTTATATGTAATAAATTACTACCTACCAGCTCTTATTTCCAAGTATTTTCTCTAACATCACTGCACTTTACAACTACTTTCACCATGGAAGCACTGAAAGGTTCACTTATGGAGATGTCAAAGTCATTCCAAAGTCAAATGGATAACTTTCAGCGGGAACTGCAACAACCCAGTTCTGCTGCCACAACTTAATCTTCCCTACCAGGTGATTTTAATGCTTTTAGAAAATTCATCTTTGCTGCTTTAGCATCTTTGCAAGTAGATCTTTTGGGAAGAGAACTGGATCGTAGTGAAATGCGTCGCCGCAGAAAGATGATCCTACTCCACGGAGTTCCTGAAGAAAAATCTGAGGATATTACCGCCGTCATATGTACGCTTATCAGCACTAAACTCCTAGTCCCAGGTTTCAGTAAAACATCCATAAGCCGTTGTCATCGTCTGGGACGCCCTTTCGATAAATCTTCCAGGCCTATGGTTGTTAAATTCAGCGATACTGTGATGCGAGAAAAGGTTTGGTACTCCAAAACCAAACTTAAGGGCACAGGTATAACCCAGTCTGAGTTTCTAACACGGAGGCGCCACAGTGTTTTTCTAGAAGCTAGGCGAAGGTATGGCATCACCAAATGTTGGACCAGGGTTGGAGTTATCAATATTTTTAATCCAGATGGCACAAGGCACCAACTTGAGACTTTGTCTGAGCTTGACGCATTATGCAACAGCTTCAACTTCTGCTTCACCCGTTTATTCTATTGTGGTTAAGGCAAATAAGGCCCCCGAAGATAAAGGTGCACCACAGCGTACTAAGAGGGCCGGTAAAAAATGAACTTTTCTTAAATAATTTTATTTTATATTTTATTAATTTTTGTAATTCTGTTATAACTTTTCTCTGGACTTCATATTTTAGTTATCTTTTTATCATCACATCTTCATTACTTTACCTTGTTAATTGTAGATTAGATAGTAAAATGTAATGATTAATAATCTCTCTTTGGAATGTTTATTATTTAGTATTATAGTTTTTCTTGTATGTTTGTAATTGTTATTGTAATCTTTCTTTGGAATGTTTAGTATTAGTGATAAAAGTATATTGTAATGTAGATATAATTGCTAGTTAACGTACTATAACTTTGACACTTTGACTCATCTGACATTAACACCTCTCACTTTTGTGTCTATGGTATGTTAATGTTCCGTTTCTTCACTTATTGTTAAGTGAATTAAACATTTCTTTCCATAATGCTGGCAGGTAGTTTACTGATGACTTATTTATTTTATAATTATACATATTATAATACATACATATAACAATACATATGTATTTACTTAGTTTTACATATAATCAGATATAATTTAATATGATTTCTTCAGATGATAGTGTTCGGAGTTCCAATTCCTTCGCCTTTGATTTTGCCTCTGATGGATTAAGCAGTATTGACAGCTTTGAAAGTATTGCACCCTTAAATATTATGTTAGATTCAACTTTTTCTGAATTTAACAAAAACTTTAACTCTATTCACATAAATGCTCAAATTATTCCTGCTCATTACCCCGACATGTTGTCAAGTTTTAATAGCAAAAACATACATGCTATCCTTGTTTCGGAGTCGTGGTTAAAACCATGTCTTCCATCAACGTCCTACTCGCTTCCAGGTTTTCATTTGATTCGTAACGACCGTACCGATCGGGGCGGTGGTGGTGTTGCTATTTATCTGCGCTCTCAAACACCTTTTTCAGTAATTCAAGTTTCAAATGGTTCGCAGACTGGAAGCGAAGCTGAATTTCTCTTTATCGAAGTTCTTCTTGGTCATACAAAATTACTTCTCGGAGTTTTTTTACAATCCCTCTCTCACTGTCGACTACTTCACCATGTTAGAAAATATTCTTGACAATTTTACACCTATCTATTGTCACAGTATTATTATGGGTGATTTCAATACTTGTCTTTTAAAAAACAACGCTAGATCAATAAAACTTAAATCTATTATTGAAGCAGCAAATTTAAAACTTCATCCTACTTCTGCCACACACTTTTTCCCGAACTGTGCCCCTTCTTTTCTCGACATAATGTTTGTGTCTTTACCTGACCATGTTCTTAAATTTGGGCAACATGCTGCTGATTCTTTATCCTATCACGACCTTTTATACTTATACAAAATCCGTCCCCCTAAAGCTAAGTCAAGCATACTACTTCAGCGTAACTTTAGTGACTTGGATTTGGAGCAGCTTTTAAATGACGCTGTAAAGATTGATTGGAGTGTAGTCGTCAATGCGTCTACTGTTGATGAACAGGTTGCTTTGTTCAACTCTCTGTTAATTCAGCTTTACGACGTTCATGCTCCTGTTCGTCCAGTGCGTGTAAAGCATCCTCCCTCTCCTTGGTTGACCGATGATATAAAAAAATCATCCACATTAAAAATTGTGCCAAAGCTAAATACAAGTCTAAGTCAAGTCACTTCCTAGCGATTTGAATAGAGAGAAGTATAGATTAGTACGGAATCGTTGCAACAATCTGTGTAGATAAGCACAACGACGCCATATCCATGAATCAGTACAAGATCCTGACCCTGCTAGGGTCTGGAAATTTCTTAAGTCCTTAGGAGTTGGGAAATTACGACAAAATCTCACACACCATAACTTTGATCTCAATCAACTTAATTTGCATTTCTCATCTTTGTCTTGCATTATCGACAAAGCAAAACATAATACTTTGGATTCTCTTTCAAAAGCTCCCACTCCGGACACCTCTGCTTTTAATTTTAGCCAATTTAACAGTTGTGATGTTAAGAGAGCCACAATGTCCATCATCCATTCAAATTCGATTGGTAGTGACTGCATTAGTCGGAAAATGGTCATCCCTCTCATTGATCTCCTTTTACCTATAATCACGTCTATCCTGAATAATTCACTGAATTCTGCTTTTTCCCTTCAGCTTGGAAAGACGCATTTGTAGTTCCTCTTCCGAAAAAGACAAATCCCTGTAGTTTTTCTGATTATAGACCTATCTCTATTTTGCCTTTCTTTTCCAAAGTTCTAGAACGTCTTGTGCACAATCAATTAAGCAGCTATCTTTTAAAACACAATCTTTTAAATCCCTTGCAATCCGGTTTCCGTCCTGGCCATAGTACGACTACTGCACTTTTACAAATTACTGATGATATTCGGTATGGTATGGAGAAACAAAAGCTTACCATTCTCACGTTGCTTGATTTTAGTAACGCATTTAATACTGTAGATTTTGATATCTTGTTAAGCATCCTACGCTCTCTCAACATATCTCTAACTGTAGTTGACTGGTTTCGAAGTTCCTTGTTTGGTCGCCGACAGCGAATTCAGGTGCAAGAGGTTTTTTCCACCTGGACTACTACAGCTGCTGGTGTACCACAAGGTGGCGTGTTGTCTCCTCTCCTTTTTGCAATTTTCATTAACTCTATAAGTCATAATTTGTCCTCTTCCTACCACTTGTATGCTGATGATCTCCAAATCTATACTCAGTCCTCTCTTGAAGATCTATCTAAAGCAGTTGACACTATTAACGCTGATCTGACTTGTATTTCGAATTGGAGTAAATGTTATGGTTTAACGATTAATCCTAAGAAAACTCAGGTCATTGTCATCGGTAGTTCTCGATTAATTGATAAAATTGACTGGTCTTCCCTACCCCCTATTATACTTGACTGCACTCTAATCCCTTACAGTAACAAGGTTAAAAACCTGGGGTTGTATCTTGACTCCTGTATGTCTTGGACCTCACAGGTTAGTGAGGTCAGTAGAAAAATGTTTGCTGAACACTAAGAAATAAAAAAATTAAAGTAAAAAACACTTTTCTCGCCATTTTTCAAACGTTTTTCTGTCCGCCAAAATGAGTGAATCTAACGAAAAAATTCGATGTATTCTGAAGTTTTATTACAAAATAGGGAAAAAATACGACTCAAGCAACAAAAAATATTTGTGACTTTTATGGACCTAATGCAGTGTCAGTCAGTAAGAATAGCACAAAGTTGGTTCAAGCGTTTCCGACCTGGATATTTTGACGTCAAAGATGCAGCTTGCTCTGGTCGCCCTTATACAGTGTATGCCATTTTTGAAAAAGTAGAGCAAGATCGGCATATCAGTAGTAACGACATAGCTGAGGAATTGAGAATTAACCACAAAACATTTTTGACCCATTTGAAAAAGTCTGGCTATACAAAAAGCGCGATATTAAGGTAGCATTTTTACCGCCGGGCAAAACTACCAATTCGGATCTCTACTGCCAACTAATGAAACTCAAGCAAGAAATTGAGATAAACCGGCCGGAATTGATCAACAGAAAAAGAGTGGTCTTTCATTATGATATCGCCAGACCAAACACATCTCTGGCTACTCAGCAAAAATTAAGAGAACTTGGTGGGGAAGTGTTAATGCATTCACCATATAGTCCTGACCTTGTACCGTCAAATTTTCACCTGTTTCGGTCTCTAAAGAATCCCTTGGGTAGTGTTAGGTTAACATCAAGAGAAGGCCGTCAAAACTACTTGTTGCATTTTTTTAATCAAAAATTTCAAGATTTCTACAGCAACGTGATAATTTCTCAACCTACAAGATGGCAACAAGTAATCGAACAAAATGGCACATATACATTAGAATTAAATGTAAATAAACTTAAAAAAATGTCTTAAATTTGTACATAAATTACGAAGAAACTCTTCCCCGACTACTTGTTGCATTTTTTTTAATCAAAAATTTCAAGATTTCTACAGCAACGTGATAATTTCTCTACCTACAAGAAGGCAACAAGTAATCGAACAAAATGGCACATATACATTAGAATTAAATGTAAATAAACTTAAAAAAATGTCTTAAATTTGTACATAAATTACGAAGAAACTTTTCCCCGACCTTATATTATAATACTTATTGATAGTCACTCTTTATGTGTTCATTTACCACTGGTTTGAAAAATACCTCTGCCTCTTGCCAAGTGAAGTCCTGTTGTATAAATATTTCGGGCCGCCATCGAATATATATATATATATATTCCACTGGGATGTGCTCGTAAGCGAAAAACCACTCCTAACCCTTCAAGCGATGATTTCCTCTTCCTGTGCTGCATGTATATTTATCGGCAGTATTAACTTTTTTGAGCATGCCTTCGACTATTAGAACACTATTCTTTCAAAATTATTACAGGCCTTCACAATTTCACTGCTGAATATATATCAACCCTTAAGTGATACCACAAAACACAATCCTGAGCCACATTCATCCATAAATTTCCTGCATGTTTTATCTAATTCTCAGAAATCAATCATTTTAAAATTGAATGGACTGGTTTTTTGATATTTTTCCACAAATTTTCAGTCAGCTCTTTATCGAATCGTAAAAACTGGTTCGCTAGAAGTATTGTCTTGCGATACAGCCACGATAATTGTAAGTTACTGTACATCAAATCAAAGTACAAATGATTGCGGACACGACACATGTAACTAGTGTTAAATACTGCGGCAATTTTGAGAGATGTCTGTCATATGCATTCAACTCACGCCTAATTATTACACTTTAGGTCTCTCAACATTTATATCAAACTGTAATATAGTATGTTAGCATTACTTACCACTTCTTTGGAAATGTTGTCGAACCGTTGCGTCAATTGGTTCAGTGCATCCACAACTGGATCGTTCGTCTTGTTTTCGGACGAGTTTTGCCTGAAATCGATCAACTTAAATTTATTCGGTGGTATAATCATCGGTTAGATTGGGGAAAATCTATAAAGAAAGTTATTAATTTTTTGACATTTTTGTTTTTCTTTTACTCTTCATTACTAAAACACATTGAAGAATATTATTCTTGCTTCAATATATATATATTTGCTTAATATAAACTTTAAGAAATATCGCATAATATATTATAATTTTAGATAATTATAATCAACTAAATCTAAGAAATACGTTTTGACGTTTCACATTAGTCATTCCGCAACAACTTTGCACAAGCGTACTCTAAACAATTTATAATACCTTTTAAGTAAATCTGAAGAATTATGAAGTTATCTATATTTCATTACAACGTGTTTGGTTTTTTATCACTAATTTAAATTCGAATCTTTCAAACAAAGCAACATATTAAAAAATAACCAGTATCAACTTTTTAACTTGACATTTCTATTATATGTCGCTATGTACCTTACCGTAGTGTTCGGATGATTAACATTCATTGTTATGTGAATCATCGGCCAAAATATTCAAATAATTGGTAAAAATGTTCAAATAATCGAATCATTACCTTTTTAACGTATTATTCGTTTAATTAAATTTTTATTTTTTAAATTCCTTAAATTAGATGAATCATGAATAAAACAAGTTTATTTTTTCTTTACTTTGTCAACGTAAATTTGTGTAGGCAAAAACATACAACTCCTTGTATATGCAAGGCCGCCAGGAAAAAACCACTACGTAATGATTTCTTAAATTTACGTGAACACTACACATTGAATAAAACTAAATTTTCGGATTATATCGCGTTTATTTAACTGATTTTACTTATTTTTAATTCCCGACGTTTCGGGTGCTTTACAGCAACCATGGTCACGAGATGTTTGACGTCCCAATGTCATTGTTAGCCCGGCTACCTTCAGTTTTTTGAATATTAATTTTTGGTCCGATTTACGCAAAACGAACTTACAGTATCTTGAAGTCTTGCAGTGGTATGCTTGGGTTTGGGTTTCATTTTGTTAATTATAGGATCCCAAGCAGATGGCAGCACCATGGTTGCTGTAAAGCACCCGAAACGTCGGGAATTAAAAATAAGTAAAATCAGTTAAATAAACGCGATATAATCCGAAAATTTAGTTTTATTCAACCACTACGTAATTTCAATCTCCCGCCATTTCGGGAGCTTAATGTGCGTAATTTTGTGATTTTGTGTTTGCTTTCTTACTTTATGACTTGGCTTTAACTTATTGGACTGTTTCTTCTATATTCGTTGAAGCATGTACCCATGTCACAAATGATGAATGGGCAAGTGGTAAAAAAATGATTATGGATTATTTTGAAAGAGACATTAATTTTCACTGCATTATTGAAAATCAAATAATAATTAATCCAAATTACAACAGCTCACCTAGTTGTAGTGAAAGTGATCGAATAAATCTTAATTTTTCATCTAGTTTGCATCCTACATTTTTATAACTTTGCCTCTAGAAATAAGCAGTAACAAAAAATACGAAGAAAGTGATAAACCTTATTTTTTAAATTATCCGTTTCTAATTGATTCTGGTATTGTTCAAACTAAACTATAAATGATTACCAACCCTAAATAACCGATATCGATTTTTTTAAGAATCGAATATTGTACGTTCCCATTTTTAGGTTGGCACGTTGGTGCAATAAGTCTAACAGCTGTCAAAATGTATTTCTTAGATTCGGTTGGCTATAGTTCTATTCTTAGTATATTGCATATTATTGTAATAAATACCAAATTCATGCAGTATTGAAAATTTAAACTATATCTACAGATTTATGTTTTGATTGAAATCTAAAATAAAGTATTTTTTAAGAACAATAAAACTTAAGATTATTTATGAAACGATTTTTTTAAAAAATAATGGCTCAAACCACTTGTCGTAAAACTATACTATAAGCTATAACCTACTAAAAATAATAATACAAGGACGACGGTGAAGGAAAATTTTTTAGAATTAGTTTTGAAATATATAAAAAAAATATTCTATTAATGTAATAAAGCGTTCCGAAAATTCTCAAAATATGGTGGTTAATTATAAAAAAATTCGAGAAATAAATACACAAAAAAGTATATTATTAATTCATATTTAATTTTAATCTTTTCAACACTACGTTAAAAAAGTTGCTAATCTAACGTAATTAAAATTCAAAACCTGCAAAGAAAATTTCAAGCTACTGTTGTGCTTTAGAAACACGAATATCTTAATCGTTTCCCAACACAAAACAAACTGTAAACAATCGATGTACAAGTCAACCGAGCCAATTAGACAAATGAGGGTAGACACGTCTTTTCCTGTCACAAGACGGCGCCACTAGGGGATGAGGTGAAATATTTTTTAGTTAGACTTAATTTGTTAGAAAAGTGTAGAGATTGACGTTTCTTTCCGAAACATGAGTTATATTTTACATCCATTAGATTAGAATGGATAAAAGGATATTCTTAAGTGTAAAAGAATTCAAAAAAGGAAAAATTTGTAAAAATTAAAAAAATACAGCATTGACGCATCGTTTAGTGCTATAAATAAACACTAGAAACCGAAAAACTTTTAATTAAATAGCAAAGCAGATGTTATAAAATGGGTTATAAAAGGTCTATTGTACACTACCTCAAAAAAAAAGAGAAAAATCTGTAGAATTCGGGAAAAATTCAGATAATTCATTTAAATGTACGTCATGGTAAACAATTGATGTTTATTAATTATTATATCGACTTTCAACATGGCGTCTTACCGATTAAGTTACTATGTGCTTATAGACAACGACAGTAAATCGTAAAGCGACCATTAATCATGAAAAGAGAACTGTCAGTTGCCACAACAGTGTCAAAAATACGTGAAATAAATATATCAAACGCCATTTATCATTAAAAATGACAGCTTACTGCCATTACGGATTTTTCTTGTGTGTTGCAATTTCAAGTGTAATTTCTTGTGTTTTACCAGCAAAAACATAATAAAATAATTAGATGGTTGAGAACCGTTTAAAATATGTTTACCTATTTTTGAGTATAGTGTACAAGGATCTAGCCCAGGCTCCATACATTTGGAACATCTCATTTACAATGATAATGACACTGTGTGACCATTTGTATAGCAAATAAGTTTTAACTCAGACGAAACTAGCGACATCTGGTGAACGTAAGAATATGATCCCTCTGGTGAACGTAAGATATGATACGATTGGTTGGTTGAATGCGGTCCTCCTATCCCCCCTTACATATGCCGCGTTATTAGTACCGTCTACAGCATTGATACTTGTGACGTCACATTCGACAATCGTCTATTTAGCTTGGTCGATAGTTTAAATAAAACAAGTCTTTACGGATTATATCGCATATATTAACTTATTATATATTCTCTTATTTTTAAATATTTTGTTTAATATTATTAATTTTGGATTCGATCTACGTTAGTAAGAATTTTAATCTGAAGATGGGCGTGGTTAACTATGACAGCTATGACACCTCAGCATATGAGTAGATAAACGGAACAAAGACAACGCTTTATACCACCTCGCGAATCGGTTGCACTACTACAAGCACGCGGGGCATGTGTGCGTGACCACTGGCCGCTTGCCGCGTACGCGCAGCTGGACTGGAAATTTGTATTTAAATTTAATTTTTTTTGCTGAACATGATCTTCACCATAAACTGCTGCTGCAGACAGGATAGTCTCCTCACGAGGGAACTCCTCAACAGCTATAGTAAACTTTATGTTAGATTCAGAATTTATCACACCATTAAAAGAAACAATAAAATATTATAAAAAAAATCATAAAAAGAAAATTATTAGAATAAGTAATTTGTAAAGTATTATATCATACTGAATAAAACTACTTAACAAATGTTTTGTTTAATTTGTCTTCACCTATTGTGACAGCCCTACAAAAATAGGTAACAATTTTGCACGTTCTTAAGAAGCTTCCTCTCTGTTCCGTTTATCTACTCATTTGACCTTAGTCCCCCCGCGAGCATGGGTGCTGTAAAACACTCGAAACGTCGGGAATATAAAATAAGTTAATACACGCTGTAAAATCCGTAAAAACTAGCTTTAAATTAATGTGTAGTGTTCGTGTAAACATAAAAAAATCATTTGGTCGATAATGATAGAACCGAAAAGACTTAAGTGCAACGGTGTATGTACTCTAGTGTCGTCAGTACAGCTAACAAGCTCATGCGTGTGGGACCTGGACGTGAGGGCGCTGGGAGGCTGCAGCCCATCTGAGATGGACAGCGACGAGCACGACGTCTCCGTGGAGCGGCTGTGCTGCAGCGAGTACTTGCTGTAGCTGCTCAATCCGCAAGCCAAAACCAACTTTATTAATTCTTCTAACCCGTGAACAGTCCATCTTTTCACATGAGCCCATCCCAGAAGGGAGGTGTCCAATCGCAGTTAAACGAGTCTTTGATATGCGTGTAGTTGAACCACCATATGTCGATGTGCATGAGATTCTTGTGGATTTTTATTTGTAGGATAAGGGTGAAAAACTTGCACACAGTCCACCAGACATCTACATAGACCATAGACATCAACATCTATCCTCGATTAAGTATAAAAATGTAGTTGCGTTTTCATCCCAAAGAAATAATATAAAATGCCTTGTTTCCAGTAAACCTTACCATACAAAATACATGATATTTTACGATGGTATTTTCTGAAAGCGTGGTCATTCCGCGTTCGAGCTGACCTATTCGTACCACGTAAAAATCCAAATGAATTTCCAATAATCGACCTTTTCTTCATATCCATGAGTTATGGATGGAGTTTTAACCACAATTAAACGGTAAAGTTGATTAATATAATCAGGCAATACACGAATCAAACCACAATTTATGCAATTGAAATGTACTTGTCATTGTAGTTGATGAAGCTAATCGATGTACATAGTCTCATTATTGAATTTTCGATAATTAATTATCGATATTAATTCTAATCGATTTAGGATAATAAGACGAGGTAATGAGGCTGTCTAAGAATGCAAATTTTCATTATACATACAACGAATTCTAGAAGAGGTTCCTACAATGAAATTTCTATTAATAAAATAAAAATTAAAGTTAGAATAAATACGAACGAAGACTAGTGGAACTGATTAGATGTTTGTCCCTTAAGCTTTTACAAATATAATTTTTATAAATTTTTACTCCACTATGAATACAGCTTTACCCTGTAGTTGCACTGATTACTTAAATCTTCTTATGGTCACCACTCTCTTTCTAAATCTTGCAGTGAATTTTACCAATAAGTACCATCAAGACATATAGTTGTATTAAAAACAAAACCTTTAAGAGCGTTTTAGAAACTTAACTCTTTAGTTTATTCCCGTTGCCGTTATGCAACGCATGATTGCAACAACCGGTAATTTACTTTCGCCAATTGATAGAAGCAACGCATGCGATATTAATTTTAATTAGAGGGCAGTACACCTGAGTAAGCCAGGTTTAGGGGGTAGAGTTGAATGAATCATGCAAGTTGCTATGAAAACTGTTGTCGCGGACAGAATTATTTGACAGTAAAGCCGATCGACAGTAGGAAACACATTCTGTCCACTGTTCTATAATAACGTAGAGATAAATAAAATTACCAGTAACTTTTATTATTGTCTGTACTTTATAGGCTATAATTTCTCTTTAACTCACCGTTTCACTTCAGGAGGGTGACTGTTCACTTGTAGCTGGTTATTTGATGAAGAGTTCGTTTGACTGTGATCGGAGTTGTCATTCGTTTGCACCTAAAATCATAACATAAAAAATTATCTTCAAAAAAAAATTTGACTTCTGAAATATATACCACAATATCTGACCAAGTAGAGAATGATTTGTTAAAAGGGCGTAAAGATTAGACAGGATGATAACCAAGTGAATAATACCAGCTTGTATATCAGACATTAAATAAAATTAAAAAGAAAATAAAAGGAAATTGTATTTATTTGGTTGTTGTAAACAACTACACACACACACTGTGTGGTGGTGGTGAAGAATATCCACTATCCCGTATCGTCCCGCGGGTGTCGTGAGGCGACAGAGGGGAACAAAGCAGGAGGTGGGCAATGACAACTAAATAAAATGCGGTTTCCAACACGCCTGCAAGCGTCGCAATGATGACATATTCCCTCTTGGGGTAAACTTCAAGGGCTGGGGGTGGAGAGTCTCCAGTAGACTTCATAGCGTTAATGTTTTCATGTTCATGTTGTATGATATGATGTACTTTAGTAAATAATATCACTGCCTATCAAAAGTCAACAGCTGAGTATCGACCTCTCAAATGGTTTTTCTTATTTATTACTCTTCATTATTACGAAGTTGTTACAAGGATGGTACCGCTGACCATGTTCTGTTTCAGTTTCTCTCGTTCGTGGATTCCCTTACGTTGCCACGGCACAGCAATAGTAACTATAAGTTTTGTATCTATTTAATACATTCAATACACTATTTCTAGTACACAAGTAGTACGTTATTCGGTAGGGGTAGCACGTTATTCGGTGACTGCACTGAGTACAGACAGTCAGTTGCATTGTCAAGCGCACCGAGATAGGACGTGTACCTAAAGACTGGTCCTAATGGACTGGACTCTTGATTTTGTTCTACTAAAAGTAATACATGAGATATATATTAATCGTATGTAATGCAATCACACGTTTCCAAAGCAACGTCGATCTGCGATGTCTAGATCGACGTGGGAAGGAGGATGGGGATGATCACACGCAAGGATTCGACCAGTGTGATCCTAGAACTTACGCGTAGCACGTCATATACTTATAAACAAATAGATCTTTGCATCGTGAATAGGTTTCTTTTTTTTTTAAAGATTCAAGGTTTAAGAAAAATCTGAAAATTCAACAAATTTATACAAATGTTAGCTGCAAACTGAAGTTGTCAGCGCGATCACAATCGCGGCTGACTTTATGGCGGTGACAACTACAGTGAAAATTGATGAATAATAAAGAATAATGCAATCTAGCGGAACTCGTTCGAACATAGCTCATCGATTTAGTAAGGCGATATGAATGTATTTGTAATATTAAAAGGGTAAAATATCGCAATGCTATATTACATAATACAACATGGGAAGATACAGAAAACTACTTTGTGGCGTGGATACATTCGTATATGAACATCAGACTAAGTAAATAATTCTCAAACTCACTTTCATAATAAGAAAACATGGTGTATATTTGAACTCATATATCCGTTTCGATGTGACAAGTATGTTTGATGTCAAATGTACGTTGCATATGTAGGTCAAGTGCGTACACTGTACTGCGTTGCATCCCATTCGCTGCGTTCGTGGGACCAATCTGTCCCTACCTTTATTCTATAAAAGTCCTACAGCAACATTGACGCATTTCATTTGTAGAAGCACAGAATAAATAATAGTACTACGTACAGAAGTATCACTCTTTTAATGTTGCCGACGTTTAATAGCCTACATAATTATTATTAATTAGATAAATCGCGCTCGCAAGCTAAATAAAACTTTATCGCTGCGCGAGAGTGTCCGTATTACTTTGCACATTTTCCTCTTACTACGTTACGGTGGACTTTCCGTTGTTATGGAGGGATGTCAATTAAGAGTAACAAAATACATTGCGAAATAATTAATTAGGTTACTTAGATGAAATACCTATTCTGACTATGATCGACAGACCATATTTTCTCACATACGTGAGTTCTGCGATGCCTAACGCATGCAACTTGCAAATCCATTCGTCGGGAATCGCGACGCTTGGCTCGGAAGGAAAAGGTAGATAGAGTAAACAACAAATAAAGTTGAAATACGATTCCTAACAGAAATGTAAACGTACTCTACTTAGTTAAAAATTTTGTTAATAAACAAAGTTTTAATTTCAGTGTTTTGTGTTATTTTAGCTTAAAATATTTTAAGCTAAAATAGTGAGTTTTACCATAAAATATAACTTACCTATTATTTTTTAATCAATATCCGGAATCCATCTTGAGTCAAGCACTTGTCTTTCCGCCTAAAGTCAGCACTTCCGGCTGCATGGAGGGAGCACCTGCCCACTGTTTTTGCTTTGTTATTTAAATAGTGGTGAGCACCAGGTCTCGTCATTATGGCACTCAGGATGCACCAGGTAGATTCCTGGTGCATCCTGAGTGCCATAATGACACAGTTCCACCTGGATTCCGGATATTGATTAAAAATAATAGGTAAGTTTTATTTTATGGTATAACTATTATTTGTTATGTATCAATATCCGGAATCCATCTTGAGTGATGTGTTCTTTATCACCTGGTGCTAATAACTTATGATAGTTATTAACGCTATAATGTGTAAGGTAAACAATAAAAGAGTTATTGCAAGAGATACACAGCAACAAACATTATATATTATACCACAATTGCATTATTTGATTATAACTGGCGATCATGACAATAAGTTTTGCTTTTGTTAATTACAATAATAAATCAAACTAATATAATATTTGCTCTATCAATCAATTAATGGCATCAAAATAACTTTATTATATTTAATTATATTTGATTTTATCTAGTGAAAAATTCTCTAACCAATTTAAAGAAGATACTGCTAATCTTACTAAACCAGAAGTAGCTTCAATACCCGCCTCTCTCAAAAGCGAATTTACCCACCCAGAAAGTACAGTACGGGATGCTGGCTTAGAGTCACCTCTAGCTGTAATAAATAAATGATTTATAGCCTTTCTGCGGTTTTTAGATATCTTTCAATAATTGTCTTATCCAGAAAATAATATTCAAATTTTTATCAGGATGTTCTTCAAGCCTCCAACCAGACAGTCTATGATTAATGCTGTCCATTTTGGAACCAAAAGCTGGCCATAAGATTAGGCTACACTGTTATTGTCAGTATGCAACAAAGTGAGGTCATGAACTCTCCGACTAGAACCCAAAAGTAATAATGTAGCTGTATGCCTTGATACTTCATACAGATTGTTTTTCGTTTAAATTATATTTACTTATACACTGCATAAGAAACTTAGGATTCCAAATTGGTGGCTTTACTGGTTTGGTACGGGCCATAGATATTGCTTTTAACATGTGTTTTATCTTATAGAAATTCGAAGATAAATCTACTTTTGAAGTTAAGTGAGTGAATGTCGAAATCACAGATTTATGTACTAAAATTGTTCTGTAAGCAGAACCTATATCACAATGTAAATGTGCTAGATAACGTGCTACTTGTTCTGGGTTAGGATATTTATAATTAACCGAATTAGACTCGCACCATTTTTTCCATCTATTCCACTGACCTCTATATATACAAGTACGCTGGACTGGCTATAAACCGTGACATGATGAAGCTATTAGATTTCCGCCATTTTGGCGCTGACAGCAGAAGTGCACGTCCACGGAACTAATAATAGGGATAAGACAGTGTATCAAATTATATCGATAAAAATTCTATAACCTGCCTATACCTAAATAAATAGAATTGACTCTATGGATAGATGGACTCTACCCGTAACGTCCATTCTATTTATGTATTATATTAATATAATGCTATTATCATTCATCATCATTAAAACCCTTCACAAGTTCACTGCTGAAAATAGGCCTCCCCCAAGGAATGCCACAAAGCACGGTCCTGAGCTACCTAAATCCATCAACTTCCTGCATGTCTTACTAGGTTTTGACTCCATCTAGTGGGGGGAACGTCCTACACTTCACCTGCCGGTACGGAGCTGCCACTCGAGAACCTTTTTTCCCCATCGGTATTCGGTTCTTCGAGTTATATGGCCGGTCAATTTCCACTTCGGCGTACTAATCCATTGGTCGATGTCGGTCACTCTGGTACTGCTGCAGATATCCTAATTCCTAAGTTTGAACCCCTGAGCATAGCCCTCTCCATAGCTCGCTGAGCGAGTTCAAGTTTCCTCATACGTTAATTTAGTTCTATTATTATAAAGAAAAACAAATCAGCTGCTATAATAACGCTTATTGTAATCAACTACAGATGTGTCTATGAACAGTAAAATATTTTCTACTATATAAAAATTTATGTTTGTTCGTACTTTCTACGATGCCATTCAGTTCATTAGATTGCGTTAAAACTTAGTCAACTTATTGGTTGCACTAGTGCGAAGGTTAGACGCATGGTACAATTAACTGACACTAAGTGGCGTGCGTATTATACTTACTATTTATTTGAAAGTTATATATCATTATATTTCAATGATTGTATTATCATTCCTAATCATACAATATAACTAACTCTTCCACATTTTTAATGATATTTCCACAATTATTTCTTCTGCGGCAGCAATGCGCCGGGTACGAGCTAGCAAGATAATATAAAAAATAATCTTTGAATTACATAGTTATCATTTATTTACAACGTCTTTTTCGAAATTAAAATTACAATATTAAAAAAAAAAACTGAAATCATCATACAGTCCTACTTTCCGTGGTATTGTCCCAAGAACGCTGGCTACGTGTCCTCTCTGAATGGCTATGCTTAGCCTTCAAGCGAGTAAGCAACAAACTAAACAACTTCTTATTACCAGCAGTGTTGATCAGTCGCAGATACAGTTTTTTAGGAACTACACCGCACGCGCACTGTACGACTACGACCAGTAGTCTCTACAGCAAATAGCACAAATATGTACTTATACTATTACATGTCTGCAATTGAGAGAGAATTAAATCTCTAGATCGCACTTACTAAAATCCCATTATGTTCTATCTCCGCCGCAAATTCGCAAGGCCACGGAAACGATTTCATGCACATCCGCAG